CTGTCTGGCTCCTGAGCACACAGGTGAACAGCTGGTTTTAAACCCACCTAGAGATCCTGGATAGATTAACAGAGAAGGGTGAAAGGGGGGTAGAAGCCAGGATCTTGCGAGGACTGCCTATCAAGATGCCCCACCCTTCCCCAGGCAGTGGGCACATGACCCACGCTGGGCCAACCATATGCTCAAGGATCATGAAGCGCTTAGGCTTTGCACTGGAGTCTTAGCCCGGCTTCCTGTCCTTCCCTGGCATGGTAGGACTGTGGTCCTTCTCATCTTTCATTCCCCTCAAGCTCCTTCCCATAAAGTCCCTTTTGGCCAAACATAGTTTCTGTTGTTAGCAGAAAGTCCTGCCTGAAGTAGAAGCTCATACCTTTTCTTCCCACCCAGATCTGTTCCTGAAGGAGTGGGCCCTCCTCCACCCCATGGTTAATCCATGATCCTGATGGGTGCAAATGGGTGCAAAAAAAGTGAGACTCACTGGGGGTCTCTAGTGATAGACCAGAGGGTTCTGTCCTTACCCATGTCTCATTGATCATCATTTTCACAATTTGGATTTAGAATACAGAAAGCCTGTTCATAAAATTTGCAGCTGTCACAGCAACAGAATTAATGCTTTGTGCAGTGGAAGCTGGACTTAAAATGCTTTCAAGACTAGACAGCTGGAAGGGATCCAAGAAGATGACATTTAACCAGCTTAATGTAAGGTTTTGCATGTGTTTCCAAAGAATCCTTTATGAAAATGCCATAAAGGGGAGGGACAGCTGGCTGGACAGTAGTTCATGGGAAAAAGCTCTCATTGCAGATTTAGTGAGTCACCAGAATAATGTAGCTGCTGAAAACACAAGTGCCTCTTGGTAGCGCAGGTTGCATTACTAGAGATCGAGTGCTTAGAAAACCGGGGATGGCAGTATGTTTCAACTTGGCTCTCATTTCCAGTTCTGTCTCTACATTTTAGGAGGGATGATGACAATTGCAGTGCATTCCAGCTAAGGTGCGCCAGGTACGAGGAAATCACAGACACTTGAGGGCTCTGATCACCCTTGGGGAGCTAGGATCCCTGTATGCAAATAACTGCAGGGGAATCCCCAAGAAGAGACCCCAGAGGCATAATATTAGGGGACCAGCTGTGGAAATTACAGAGATGTTTTAGTCAAAGCCCTTTGGGTTGGAAGTAACCAAAGCCATACTGGCTTCACTCAGCAAAAAAAGAAAGGAATTTACTCTAAGGAAACAGGTGTGTTTCAGGATGGCAGCCTTGGGGACTAGAGCTGGGAGCAGAATGCTGGCAGGAACCAGGCAGCCTGACCCTCCACCTCTCTCTCCTCTTTGCTTGCCCTCTTGCTACAAAACAGCTTTCTCTGCTTCCTGGGGCACTGTCAGAAAGCATCTCCTAGCCCTGGCATTGTATAATCTGCTAAACTGCTGAGGACTAGGGGTGGTGGGGACAAGGAATGGGGGGTGTCCGGGTGAGGAAACCAGAAGAGGGCAGGGGCCAGATGGGAAAGGCTGGTTATTAAAGAATATTCCCACAAACACCTGCCTGCCTGCTGCCCAGCTTCAAGCCAGAACATCACCTAGAGCAATTATTCTTCAAGGCCCCCTGTGTTCTCTCCCTTCTTCTCCCCATAGTTAACCACCCTGGTGATTTGGGAGTTTCTCATTCCCTGCTTCTCTCTGTAGTTTCAGTACACAGAGATGTATGCCTGAAAAATTGACAGTTGCCTTTGGCAAGTCTTGATTTTCATCTAGGGAGCTCATGCGTATAGCATCTACTGTCACAGTGCTTTTTTGCTGAGCATGTTTGTGAGATGTTTGCATGTTGACAAGCAGAGCTGTAGTTTGTTCATTTCCCTGGCTGCGTGGCTTTCATTGTTTGACTCTACAACCATTTCTTTCTACAGCCTTTGACTGTCGAGTTATGTCAGCCTTTTGGAACTACTAACAGTGATGCGAGTGCCCCTGGGAGTGGAAATTGTGGAGATACAGTCTGGGTCCATCTTCCACTGTTGGTGCAAGGCAGATTCAGACCAACCCAGGACCTTCGAATAGCAGGACTTCCCTGTGACAGGACAGGCAGTCCTGCAGGGTAGTAAGGTCCCGTTTGCAGGGCTGTTAGTTGCCTGCTGGGGGGGGAGGGGCAGAGTTATAACCTAACTGCATGCTACATTGAAAGAGTGTCTGGTGCAGGAAGAAGTTAGGGGCTTGGGGGGTTTATCAGACACTGGCACGAATATTAGCTCTACTACTTTCTAACTGTGTGACCTTGACAACTCATTTCTTTCTCTGAATCTCCAGTTGTTTCTTCCAAATGGCTGTGTGCCCATGGCAGTTTCAGAGGGAATTATTCTTCAAGGCCCCCTGGGCCTGGGAAGGCAGGTACTTTGAGGAACTGGAGAGGCAAGGCTGGTCCCAGGACTCTGAATCACCTTCAGGGGATGGGGTGAGAGTGGGGAAAGGCCAGCACACAGCCTCCTTCCGAGACAGGGTGGGCTGGGGGATGACAGAATGTGGCAGGCTCCCTGGGAAGGAAGAGACAGTCAAGAGGTCAAAAATGTCCTCTGAAGACCCCCTGTAAAAGCTAGAACCTGGGTTCCCCAATCCCATGGACAGAGCCTGAACCAGTGAAGTACTTCTGCTGCCACCATGACTCTGCTCCCCCACCCCCTGTGATGCCCATGGACCACCTCGTGCAGGTATAGCACCTGCCAACCCTGGGCTGGCCATACCCTGAGCCCCTGCTGGGCATGAAGCCAGACAGGCCCTGATCACCAAGAATCCTCCACATGAGGTGTCCCTGGGCTGTGGGACCCTTGGGTGAGCCTGACAGGGGACGTTTGGAGCTTTGTGTCCAGGTTTTAAGCTAAAAGACAAAGGCGGATATCACAGCCTCCCCATTCTCTGCACACCAGGTGCCCTTGATAGGCACTAACTTAACTGACTCTTCACAAGGCAGCCCCCGTTTTGCAGAAGAAACCAAGAAATCAGGCAGCTGACCCAAGGTCACAAAGCTGGTGGTTGGCAGAAGCCAGACCTGTGGTTCTAAGGCTCCATCTCTCGTACAGGAGCTCTGACTTCATCTTGGGGGTGCGTAAGGGAAGGCTCCTGGGCAAGCGGTGTTGGAGCTGGATGCAAAGGTAAGTATCAGGCCAAGAGGTGGGGAACCCTGTGCGCACAGCCCAGGGTGGGAGTGACAACGGAGAGGTGGAAGAAACGTCCCTTGTGGCTGAGCTCAGGGAGCAAGGTAAAAGGTGGGGGCAGGGAACAAGAGCAGGAGCAGGAGAGGTGCACATGCTTTGGCCTCTGAGGACCCTGGAATTTATGGTGGGTGGTTCCCACCACAGACTGTTGAGCAAAAGAGTTTTAGCTGCAGCTCCACCCTTAGCAGCCCAACCGAGTGGTTACTGAGCCTGGTCACTGGACAAGGCCTATTTAGAGGGTTCTGGGAATAATGTGCTGGGCTGCGGAAGGTGGTACTGGGCCCTTCAGGTAGCGCAGCAGCAACTAGATGGCTGGGAAATGCCAGGTGGGGCATGGTTTAGGGGTGCCTGTGCAGAGGGAGGCGGGGAGGGCCTGGGGAGCCAGACAGCTGTGGGGGAGCCGTATCTGGGGGTAGGAAGGGGGGTGGCGTTATAGGCCTAACTCACATGGGTCCCTAAGAGCCAATTCAGTGACTTGGGCCTTCTGGGAGTTAGGATGGGGGGTGGGCCCATCTCAAAGCTGCCATTGTTGCCTCCTCTCACGCCTGACTGTCTGGGACCTAAAATAGAGCAGGAGCATAGGGATCTCGTGAGAAGTTTCTGGCAAGGAGATGTGGGGGGAGGGGCATGAGTCATTGCTGGGAACCCTCAAGTTTGATGCTCCCAAAGCCCAGCTGCCCCACCCCCACCCCAGGGAGCCTGGAATCCACTGGACAGTGGGCAGGGGAGGGTGTCTCAGTCCCATTCCATCCCTGGGGAGGGGAATGGGTCCTGGCCCCAGCTCCATCATGGAGGTGATGGATAACTGGGCCAAATCTGCCCCCTCAGGACTCAGTTTCCTAGATGTACCAGAAGTCGGGGACCTTGATGTCTGCTATGAGGCTACTGAAATTCAAGGCAGGTGGTCCTATTATAGGCACCCAGAGTCAGACAGACGTGGGATAAAGCCCCAGTTCCTCTTCTACTGGCTTAGTGACTTTGGACACATCCCTCCATCTCTTGGAACCCATTTCCTTATCATTTCCCAGTTTCAGCTTGAATTATCCAACAAGGATCCTGACAGCTACTGGGGGCTTCTCTCCACGGCCTCCATATCCTCAGCAGGCACACTTTGTGCTGCCAGGAATGTTAACAGTGACCTTATTTTTTATGCCCGGTGCTTTACATATATTAACTCTAGCTCCCCACATTCTGGAGGCCAGAAATAGGTGTCTTTTCCAGTCCTTTCCTTGGGAGCTGTTCAGCCTCAGAACTGGCCTCTCCTGGAGGAAAGGAACCTTGGCACCAGGGAGGGCCGTCCTGGGCACCTACCACATGCCAGGACTTGCACTTAGCTCAAGCCTGGGGTCCTGGAGGTTACGGATGATCCTCCCCATTGTGCAGATGGGGAAACGGGCTCCTCTCAAGGGGTCTGTGGGCCCTTCGCAAACCGGTGGGCACGGTGCACGGGCCCTGCCGCGGGAGAGGCGAGAGCGGCGTGCGAGGCTGGCGCGCCCCCTAGCGACCACTGTCCTGCCCCGCCGCCGGAGCTGCCCAAGCTCCCACTGGCAGCGGTCGTAGTGAGGAAGTCCTTTCTCTTGCCTGCAGCATGCCCACCTCCTCGAAGCCGACACCACTTCTCCGTCCGTGTCTCATTGCTTCCCGGAGACCCCACGGCAGCGGCGCGCCCCGCCCCGGCTGCCTTGGAAACCGCTTGTATACAGTTTGCTCCTTCCCTTCCGCCCCACATCCTAAGAATGGGAGCGCGAGCCAAACCAGTTGCTGCCTAGGAGAAGCCCCTTGGGGCCGGCCAGCCAGGGGCCCATGAAGAGCTGGGCCCCAGGAACGCTGGCCGTGGGGAGAGTGAAATTCTTCAGCCAGCACCGTGGAGGAGAGAGGCCCAGTCGGATTCTGCCCAGACTCTGGGATCCTGGCTGCGTCTAGCGTGTGTTCCTGGTTCTGGGTGCTCCAGAATGGGCCCTAGGTTCTAAGCTCTGATTCCAGAGAGCGCTCAAATTCCTGGCTGACTCGTGTTCTCTTGGGCTCTGGCTTTTAAGTGAACTCAAGGCTAGAGATTTTGAACTCCTAGTCCTGGGCTCCAGCTCTATGGGTTCTGGGCTCCCAGGTGCCAGGATCAGACTGTAGAAAAGGTCCAGCCTCTGGCTTCAGTGAAGGCCCTGGGCTTTACTCAGGTTGAGAGCCCCAGAGAGGGCTCCACACTCTTGGCTCTCTGACAGCAGAGTGGTTTCCGGGCTCTGGCTGTAGAGTGAGGCCTATAGTCCAGTTCCAGCCGAAGGATCCTGGGGCAGTGTTTGGGGCTGGCCTGGGTCTAGAGACAGGGGTAAGCAGACAGGTGTTTCTTGCTGCAGGATGGGACTACCTTTGTGCTCTCCTTCGGTCGGTCAACTCCTCTGCCTTCTCTCCTGACGGCCAGAGGCTGCTCACAGCCTCTGAGGATGGCTGTGTGTACGGCTGGGCGACCCAGAGTGGGTAGCTGCTGTGGGGGCTGGGTGGCCACACAGGTGGGGACCCTCAGCCTGGATGGGGAGACAGGCGCATAGGCCTGTTTTGGCATTCTGCAAAGCCTACCACAATGACCTCTAGTGTTTGGGTCGGGCAAGACATGCAGGGCTGGGGAAGGTCAAGGAAGCAACCCAGTCTCAGGGGCCCAAGGCTCCCTGACTCTGACCTGGACTCAGATCCTACCACAAATTACAGTGTTTCTTTGTGTGACTGGGTTGTTTTATTCTGCCTAATGTCCTTAAGGTTCATCTGTTACTCACTTTTTTTACTGTGACCATAGTCATGTCACCTCTCTGAGCTTCTTTCTTTCTCTTTAGAAGGGGGTTAATTGCCACCCTATAGGCTGAGATAATGCAAGCAAGTGCCTAGTACCCAGTAAGGACTTAGATGTACTGTCATTGAGACCAAAATACAAAAACAAATGTAGTAGTAATTACAAGGCAGATTAATGGCATAATAAAGTCCAGGGCTGTGAAGCTCAAAGGAGGCAGTGAACCTAGGCTGGGCTGTTAAGTCTCTGGGAAGTGCCTACATTTTGACTGAGCATTGATTTTCCAAACAAACTGGGAACGGTGTTCCAGGCCAACATACCAAAGCTGTTATTGAGAATGTGGCTGGAGGGTTGTTTTGGGAGTAAGTAGAGGGAGGTAGGCAATGTGGCTGGAGACATTAGCAGGGGTCAGACTCCAGGGGCCAGAGGTGGTGTGTGGTGTCTTGTTCCCTGATGCCACAGACCACGTGAAGTTCTGCTGCTTCTCCCCTGACGGCCGCCTCTTTGCCAGCACCTCCAGTGATGGCACCATCTGCTTGTGGGATACAGCACAAACCAAGTGTCTGCAGATCCTAAAGGGCTGGTGGATTGGATGTGTCTGGAAGCCAGGGGTCAGGACTGGGTTCTTTCAGGCCTTGCTGTGTCCTGTGCCACTTTGTCCCTTCCCTAACCTGGTGCCTTAGGTCACCAGCGGAGTGTGGAGTCAGCTTTAGCCCTGACTCCAAGCAGCTGGCATCAGGTGGCAGGGACAAGCAGGTGATGCTCTGGGAAGTACAGGTACATGGAGGGGACAGCCAGAGCCAGGCCTTGGATCCGGCACACACAGCCTTCATATAGGCAGGAAGGTTCTGTCACCCACACCTCACATCCAAGACCCCCCTGCATCTGGCTGCAGCCGCCACCACCCCTCCTGCCTCAAACCTCTGCCCATGAGGTGCCCACTGCACTGCCTGGAAGCCCTCCTGTCAGGCCTAGGAAGCCTTCCTAGACCCTGATGTGCCACATTACCCAGGCAGCCCTGCAAGGAGGACCTGAGTCTGACCCATCTAAGGCCTAGAACCTGGCACAAGGCTTCTGGACTGCCTGCCAAAGGTCAGAGCTCTCTCCTCCAGTCTGGCCAGATGCTGCACCATTTAGCAGGGCAGCAAGACACCTTCCAGAGCAGTGACTTTACACCCAGCTCAGAGTGCCTGGTGAGCCACACCACCTCTGCCCCGAGCCTACACAAACTTTCCAACTTGGGGCTGCGCAATGTTCCAGACCTTCTCTGGGTGACTGCTCTTATGAGCCTGTCCCCTCGTCTAAGCCAGGGATTCAGCAGGGCTCAGTGAAATGGTGCCTGCTTCCCATGAACCTGACTAGCCTAGGGCCCAGGCTGGCCGGTCCATGCTCATGGCAGACGTCTGCAAGCCACTGGCTCCTGTGACCCCACCAATCTTCCACGAGGAGTTGGAAGCCAGCTGCCTGCGCTCCTCAGCCTCTGGCCTTCTGGTGAGCTGGACTATGCTGGGTACCAGTCTGGCCCCTTAGTGGTTTTAAGATTTTTGGGGGGTTATGGCCATTTTGGGGCCAAGTGAGCAAGTAGATCCCAAGCCAGCTTAGAGCTGTCTACTGTCTAGGCATCCGGCTTCTGGGACAAGACCAACCTCATCTGGAAGCCCTCGACCAGAAGCCTACTTGTCCAGCATAGCTTTCTCCCTCGATGAGCCACAGCTGGCCAGTGCTGGTTATTCCCACATGGTAGCCCCATTCCACCAGGCCTTTCCTCCAATATCCTCGCCTCCAGAAATGATCATATCCCTAACTGCCCTAAATAGGAGGGTACCAACCACCTCTGTACCGTACCTGCACAGGCCCAAATGTTAGTGGCATCAATATTTTTTACTCAAACAGCTTCAGGGGAAAGAAAACTACTGCACTGTATTCTTTATACTATGCTGAGCATGTTAAATCTATCTCAGGCAACAAAACTCAGCCCAGAGGTTAGGATTTTGGCTAGGACTCATCCTAAATTGATTTCAGAAATACCCCATCCTTCTGCTTGTTTATTTCCAGGTCAAAGTCTGGGACTGCAGCACAGGAAAGTGCACTGAGATCCTGAGAGTAAGGCCTGTGACTGCGGTGCCAAGGGCAGTGGGAGGCTTGCCAGGGGAGGCTGGGGGCAGGCAGGAATGGCATCCTCAGAGCCCAGTGATGTGCTTCTGGCAGGGAGTCCTGGATGTGGCCCATGCCTGTGCCTCCACCCCAGATGGGAAACTCCTGGTGTCTGGAGCTGCTGACCAGGCAAGACACCAAATCCACCACTCAGATCACCCAGGGCCTTTTGAATGTAACATCACCACCAACCTCTCCCTGCCCAGGGTGCACAGGGTCTGGAGGAATGATCATGTGAGAGGACAGGGCGGTTCCACACCACAGACCCAAAGTAACCATCACAGAGTCCACCGGATCCTGTGGCCAGGACTGTCGTGGCTCCACACCAGCAGCTAACAGCTGTAGGCAGGCCCGCTGAAATCTATCAGACCCCTGGTAACCATAACCTGGACAGCAGGAGCCCGTCTCCCAAGCATGGCTAGTGGAAACACCTGCCAACAATGTGACACCAGCCCGTTTGTGTTTTATTAACGCCACAGTGCTCAGGCCTTGACAGCGTATTTCCGCAGGGGGTATAGCCGCTCCTTCCGCTGCTGCTTCTTGGTCTTTAGGTTCTCTTCGTGCTTGTTGAGCCGGCGGCGCATGGCTCGTGTTTTCTTGGGCCGCAGATCCAGGGGCTTGTATTTCTTGCCCTGGGTGAAATGCAGGGGGAGTCTGAGGACCAGGGTTTAGGAGCTACTGGAGTAGCTAAGGAAGCCACGGAGCCTGGAACTAAGGTGCTCAAGGACAGTGGGAAGACGCTGGAAGTGGAGGAGGGAGGCAAGCGGCTGGGGTGGGGTAGCCAATTTGTAGACCTGAGTGTGAGAAGCTGTATGACATCCAGCCCAGAGGGGACTATCACCCATACAGACAGACTGAGATGGCAGTGTACCTTAATTACAAGCTCATTTAATTTCCCCCAAATCAAGGTTGGGAGACTCTCCCCATGATTTTTAAGTTTCTTGACTTATAAGCTAAGAAGTGAGTGAACATACTTAGATCTCAAAGAAGCTGTGCAGAACTGGGGTTTGCAGCGAAATCAACTGACTCTAACTTGATGCTCTTTCCATGTGTTTAATTCCCAACCATGGGAACATCACACCCCAACCCAGGAAGGGGTATGTGGCACTCAAACTCCTGGGGATAGTTTCTGCTACCGTGGTCTAGGTTTTGCATGATTGTAGGTACAGGACAGAGCCTTAAGCTGATGCTTAATGAATCTGGAGGGTCTTGTCAGGTATCCCTGGTGTTCCCTGCGATGATAACATTCCCGCATAACAAAGGAGCGTCAGAGGGAAGCTCTGGCTTGGGCCAAGGTCATACAGCTGTAAGGGCCAAAGCCCCCTTTCCTGCCTTGGCCCTCCCACCACCTGCTCTCAGACCTCTAATTGGGCCATTATTTCTCCATCTCTGGCTCCCACCCTGGTTCCTTCCCCACCTGCTCCCTAGTGAGCAGTTGTACACTATCACAGCCCCCATGGTCTCCTTTGTTCTGCAAAAGTCCCTGGGCCTTCTTCAGTCTGAGGCTCTGCAATGGGTGCGGCTTAGGGACAAATCAGCCCTGGTCCCTGCTCAAAGACCTCCCAGCCCAGTGGGAAAGACTGAGCAGGTAACAAGTGGCCCTCTGGTGGAGAGGAGGATGGAGATTAAGGATGGTCTCACGTAAAGACTGGCAATAGCCTTGAAAGCAAACAATGTAGACACCAGTTGAAAGGATAGCATGCACAAAAAGCCTTGAAAACAGCTCAGATTCTTTCTGGGAACTGCCAACAGCTTGGAATGGTAAGCACAAGGCAGATGGGCATGAGTTAAGTAGGGTTCAGGTCACGAACGGCCTGGGGCAGAGAACTGCAGAAAACACTAAGCAGGAGACAAGGGTAAGTTCTGCAGGGAACATGGAAGCATGAAAGTCTTTGTCCACCTATATCCCTCTAATCAGCTGGTGCAGGTCAGGGCCCTTTCAAATTTACTTAGTCCCTAGAACTCTGCTGTACAACAGTAGCCACTAGACACACAGTTTACATTAAAAATTTAGTCCTTTAGTCACCAGAGCTACATAAATACTCGACAGACACATGTGGTCAGAGTTTACTGCATTGGGTTACAGATGTCTATCACTGCACCAAGTCTTCTGGACAGCACTGATACAGAAAAGGCCTCACCTCATTTCCGAATGAATGGTGCCTGGGCTGTCTGCCTGCCACACTGCCTAGTATATTCACTGGATAGTTACATGAAATTCTTCCAGGCCACCACCTCTGCACGGTCCCCTCAGAGCCTATGTCAGTTTCAGACCCAATCCTCAGAAAAACACTCCCACAAATGCGCATACATTCAAGGGTGGCAGCACCCCACCCCACCCCACTGCCCAACACCGTGATGGCTTTTTGATGCTTCAAGTCCTGTTATTCAAACTTATTTGGGTGTTAATATGAAACTATCTGGCAGGGCAATTAGAGCCCCACGCCAGTCTACTTTAATTAAAAAGGTCATCGTGGGTAAGCTGGGTGGGCCTGATCCAATGAGCTGAAAGGCTTTAACACAGGCCTGAAGCTTTCCCAAGAAATCCCGCCTACAATAGCAGTTTGAACCTGTGTGCTAGAGTTTCAGCCTGCCCAGGATCTTCCCTTCCTGAGAGCCAGCCCTTCTGATTTTGGACTTAACTCATAACTAGCCAGCCCCACAATCACGTAAGCCAATTCCTGTCTCCTAGTGGTTCTGCTTCACTGCTTGAACTCAGAAAATGGTTGTAAAAATTCTAGGCTAAAGGGGTCAAACACCTGTGGAAATCACCCACAAGCACTCAGTCACCCCTCCCTAAGACAGGGCTTAGTCCTGGGCCCAATTACTCAATTAATTGTAGGTGACCCTGGGCAACTTAACCTAAGCCTTGCGGTCCTCATCTAGGAAACTAAGAATGTTAGGTTCTTGGCAGTGACTTGCCAGAGTAATCGTTTTAAAACATTTAAACAGTGATTCCTCAGACTGCCCCAACTCACTCAGCTACTGAGGCTGGATTCAAAACCCAAGTCTCCGGCCAAACTCCCACCACACTGTTATTTCCTGACAACTGCAGCCCCAAGGAAATGCTGTCTGCATGCCATATGTTAGTACAAGATGCTAGTAAAAAGGCAAACCCATCTGCAAGCTGGGAAGGCTCTGGAAAGCCCAACTATGTCTGAGCAAAGCCCAGTCCCAGCCACCTCAGCAGGTTAACCTTTTCATTCTGCCCCAACAGCCAAGGAAGCGCTGGAACTTCATTTTCTGCAGCCAAGCACCTCCACCTGACTTACCTTGTAGAATTTCCTGAGGTTCTCTTTCTGAGTCTGGTTAATGACGGTGAGAACACGGGCAATAGATTTGCGGACAACTCGGCTAGAAAACAGAGATAACGGTGAAGATGGGGAAGACAAACAGGGTTCCCAAGGCATCTCTTTCAGGGCCTGACCCAAATGTCCTAAGGCAGAGGCATTCTCCACCAGCTCATCCAAATTCATCCAGGAGGTGCCTGACCCAGCCCAGGTGCTCTACAGGGAAGGCCTACAAGAATCGAGAAGATAGGCATCCCAGGAATGGGGACAGGGAACAGCCTGGAGTACCCAGTGCTTCTGAGGAGCTATGAAGCATTCAGTGAGGAGAGGTGGAGGGCAGCTCAGAAACGGTATTTGAGGGCTATAAAGACCTAACCTAAATGCTGATCTGAATGAGCTCACTGCAGGGAACCATGCGAAGCTCGGCAACCAGGTAAGCTTAGGAGTCACAGGAAGGGACACTTAGGAGAAAAGAGACATTTTTGAAGTAGAAATGCTATGGGGGTGGGGAGGGGTGGATAAAGATACGAACAGAAGGGGAATAATTTGTATTCATGTTGGGGAATGAGGGAGGGTCACTTGATGGCTAGTGAACACGGTCTTGAGGATCCCACATACAGCTTATGTGTACCCCAAACTCACCCCCCTACCCCTACCCCACCATAGGGAAGCTGTTGGGAGCCCATTCTATAGGAGGGGGTGGGGGGGAAATCAAGTGCTGGTGGGAGGTGGGAGCAGAGTCCAGTTAGGTTTTTGAAGACAGCATTTGAATGGCTCTTCAAGGACACACAGATCTTTCTATAGCCAAAGCTGAACAAGAGAACTCCAGGCCAAAATGTGGTCAAATGCAGATGAGGTCAAGCACACAGCAGTCTCCCGCCCAGGCAGATGAACCGGAAAGGCTGGCGGGGAAGAACGTGACATCCCAACCCAGGGGTCCACTGAATGGGCACTTAAACGGACACCTCCTTAAATCAACCTTGAAAACTAACAAATGCTCCTCGTGCACACATGTTCCCCACGTCCAGGGCTGTAGTCCCGATGCCCGACACTTACATCTTGGAGAGCTTGGAAGCCGCGCCGCCTGTCACTTTGGCGACACGCAGCTGGGACAGCTCCACTTTCAGGTCTTCCAGCTGTTTAAGCAGCTCCTCCTTCTTCTTGCCGCGAAGGTCTCGAGCCTTAATCTTGGCCTGAGCGAAAGAGTTTGGGTCAAACACCCAGCGGGGCCGTCTCCCCGACCTCCGCCGTTCACCGAGGCCTCCACCCGCCATCCTCCCCTCCACTTGCGTCTCAACCTGGGTCACAAGTGTGCTGGGGGCCCAGCAACACCCCCTAGGCCGCGCCTTGGGCAGGGAAACCGTGGCCGCGGCGAGCACTCCCTCACCCAGGCCGGCTGCGAGGCTGGGCCGCTCGCTACCCCTATTCTGCAGACAGCAGCGCGCCGGCACCTCTCCCGCAGAGGAAGAAGCCGGTAACCTGACTGTGGCGGGCGGCACTAGGCCTTTCGGCACGGCGCCCCACAGGCCTGGCTGGCAGATGGGATCGCAGAGCTCACCCTAAGCCCCCCACCCCAATCTCCGAGTCCCACAGCGCGCGGATGTCAGCCGATTCCCCTGCCCTCACCATAGCTGCTTCAGACACGGCCGCCGCCGCCTGGTCCGAGAAGAGAGGGGAGGGGCTGACGTCCGCAACTACTTCCGGGTGGCGGCGGGCGGAGTCAATGGCGTCGCAGTGGGAAGCCCCGGCTCCGCCCTTCCAAGCCCCGCCCCGAGGGGCTGGAGCCCTGCCCCACTGTACCCTCGTTGTCCTTCCGCATCCGAGATTACTTAGGTTCACACCGCAACCTGAGCGGCACTGTTGGGGAAACGAAGGCCCGGTGCAGGCGGCAGCTTACCGGAGATGGCATAGTGAGGCCTCCAATTCTTCCATTCAGCCATTTATTCGTTCTTTCACTCATTCATTCGGTAAACCGTTGCAGCTTGCCCAGTCTGTGCAGTTCTTGCTCTGGGCGCCAGTTTTTTGGAGGTGGAGGGGGTGAGGGTTAAGGGTTTTCAGATGAACTAACAAGGCCCCTGCTTGGGGGGAATTTGAAGTCGAGGGGGAAGGTGAGGGGTCACACTGCTATAATTCAACCGATAGATGCTCTAGTGGAGGCAGCATGTGGCTGGGGGAAGAGTTTTCAAGGCCTTTTTTCAGTGAACCCGACCCAATTTCAAATTCTTATTCTGTTGCCTGGTGCTAGCTGAGACTCTTGGCAAATCCCTTCCCTTCTCTGGGTCTCAGCTTTTTCACTTGTGAAATTGGGTATTTATGAGGATTAGGAAGATAAAATTTTAAAATTCTACCTCCTTGGCTGGAATGGAGGTTCGTGGTCATAAGCAGGGACATTATTTCATTCATCAATTTATTTGGGGGCTAGTTCCTTACTTGTAAAATAGGCATGTCTGGTTCAATGTTCCTTCTGACCAGGACGTTCTGGGGATATGAATTTCTGCTCTCGTTGTGTGCCTGGGTCACAGCGATTTCTTCTAAGGTATGGAGTTGAAAGGCAGGCAGATTTTGCCTGTTTCCAGGACCCCCGAGAATTTTATTCATCACCTATTTCCCACTGTAGGAGTCTGAATCTTTAGAACCCAAGATTAGGTAGCATCATAGTATGGCAACATTTTTTTGATCTGTGACAGAGTTCAGTGAATATTCAAAACAATAAAAATTAGTCATATTTCATTAACTACTGACCTTTATTAAGAAGAGTACCATTATATGCAAACAAAGACCCAGTTTAGTCTAAGGCTAAATTACCAGAACCCCTCAAGCAACAGCCCAGACACCTAATCCTGGCACCTCAGAGTCGTCAGTCCTTGACTCTGACTTACCTCCCCTCACCTTCATCTTTATTCATCTCAGACTCCGGGGACTTGTCTACCAGGATTTGTCTCTCCAACGAGAGCCGAATGCTCAGCCCCCTGGACCTCGCCTTACGCCAGCATGGTGGCCACAAGGTCATCTTTCTTTCCGCATCCCCCATATGTCAAGGACAAGATGACCGCTACACACGAGGGGCCGCCGCACCCTCAAGTCCAAATATCTTGTCTTGTCTACACACTGGATACACTTTACTGAAACGTTTTTAAATTCTCCCAGTCCGTTAACTATAGGATCACTGTGTACAATAGAGGCAGCCTCCTTCCGAGCTCAGTGGGGTAACGTTCCAAGCTCCTAAGATCCGAGACGCAGGCTTCCCCCCACTCGTCCCCTCCCGGAGCCTAAGAACATGTACTCATTCCTCAGGCCTCAGCTCCAAGGTTTCTTCTCAAGGAAATCTGCCGGGCACTAGACAGGCAGAGCCGGGAGCCTTCTTCTGCGGGGCCCGTGCGCTCAGTGATGACCCCCCGGAGTCCGCGGCTGTGCCCCCGCCGGCCCCGGACTCCGGATGCAGGAGGGAAAGGCGAAAAATGAGCGCAGTTACGGTGCCACGATGCTGAGCCCGTATGGGGAAGGCACTCCTGCTCCTCAGACGGGAAGACTGAGGGATCTTGGACATGGTAGGTAGGCATGGAGTGGGAGTGGGAGAGGGGACCACCAGAAAATCTCGCGGGTTTCCAGCCTCTCCCCCGTCAGGCTCCGCCTCGCGGAACACTTCCGGTTCCGGCGTGGCCCGGAAGTGGGCGGGCGGCGGCTGCGCGCGGAGGAGGTGGAGGAGCTGCCGGGCGGCCGCTTCCCGCCCCCGAGCCGGTGCTGAGCTGAGTGGAGCCGGCTGAGCGGGTGCCGAGCCCCCGCCATGGCCCGGAACACGCTGTCCTCGCGCTTCCGTCGGGTGGACATCGATGAGTTTGATGAGAACAAATTCGTGGATGAGCAGGAGGAGGCGGCGGCGGCGGCGGCCGAGCCAGGCCCGGACCCTAGCGAGGTGGACGGGCTCCTGCGGCAATATCCTTACCTGGCTTTCCTCATCCCCGGCTTCGGTCTCTCAGGCCGGCCTCCCCATTCCTCTTACTCCCGGCCCCTTCAGGTCAGTCTCCCGCTTCCTTTCCGATCCTGCTTCCCCTGACCAGGGTTTTCTCAGTCCGGGTGTCCCGTCCCTTGCCCCGACCCGGCCTCCCCTCTCCCCGTGTCCCCGGCCGCGGGCCCCGGAGCCTCCTTCAGCAGCGCAGCCCCACGCGGCCCCAGCCCCGGGTGGACCGGCTCGCTCCGAGGCTCCAGGAGCATGCCGGACGCGCCTCCGCCCCTCACGCCCCCCACTCCTGCGCGAGGCCTCTCCTTTCTTCTCCTGGCGCCCCTATCTCCTCAGGTTGTCTGTGAGCGCCCCATCACTCCATCCCTCCCTTGCAGGAAATGGGGCCATTCTCGGGCTTGATTCGCGGGAGGGGCTGAGGTGAGCCACCGCTGAGTGACTGAGCAGCCAGGGCGGCTCCCGGGCACAATCCTCTCGAGCCGGATTGCAGCACCACATGAAAATAGGTGGGCGGACGGCTGCGTGGAAGAAAGGACCCAAGTGAGAGCGAAGGCTGCAGCCTTAGTCCAAACCGCAGATTGGAGATTATGCATCTCGGTGCATCTCCCACCCCAGAATCAGTCTGACCCCTCTACCTTAATGCCACTCTTTCTCCCCTGTTCTCATTTTCCTACTAACATCTTGGGCTTTGGACCTTGATGGTCTCAGCCATGTTCAACAAGTGAGCTTTGGCCTCCCTCCCCCCAATAACCTTCCTGCTCAAGAAAACAGTCGGAAAAACTAGTAGTTCAGAGCTAAGAAAAACCAGACAGCATAAAATGAAATGTAGAAAGAGAGCCCACAACTGGAAATGACTATTCTTGTGGTCACAGAAAACAAGCATTTAGAAAACAAGATTAAAAATAGAGGTGATTGTCACAGCTTGCTTGGTCCTTTAGCAGTTTGAGTACAGGAAGCTGACTTATTCTCACAGGAAGAATTTTTCTTTATTCAAATGGTATTACAGGAAATGCTGCCCCTCCCCTGCACTTGCCAGGGCTCATGCTGTATATAAATCAGGTTCTGGGTGTTTAATCAGTTGACTCAGCTTGGGTTGGGAAGTCAGACGCATTGACTGCCTTTGGGAGGAGCCCTCCGGTGGTACTCCACTGTGCCGTTAAAACAGAAACCTTAAGACTTTGTTTGAACAAGAATGTGTTTTAAAAGGTGGGGATTCAAACTGGTATTCCTGCCCCACCAGAATCACCCCCGACTGGTGAAATGGGGTCATTGAGAAGGTTGGTTCTGCAGCCAGGTGCAGGACCTGTCTTATGAACAGGCAGTGCCAGAAGGGCCCAGGGGTCAGGCCTGTGGCTCAGAACCATCCACAGAAGGGGAGAACAAGGTCTGGTCATCTGCTGTCTTGGTCTTGGGTGCTGCAGGGACTTGCTGAAGGTCATCTTTTGGCACACCCCTGACTAGTGAGAGCCTCCTTGAGGCTGTTGGAGGCCTACATTTTGCACTTCCAGGGGATGGTGGTTTCTGCACTAATGGCAGTGTCAGAAACCTTGTTAGCACAGAGAGTGTACCTCTTGGGATTGGGGAAAAGGGACATTAGCCGACCATACCTGAAATCCTGACGAATGGAGGGAGGAAGGTAGGGGGAAAGAACTATTTATTGAGTCTGTCATGTGCTAAGGGATTTAGATTAGATCATTGAATTTAAACTTCCTAACAGGTTTCTAGTAGCCTTAGGACAGAGGTGAGGAGTAGGGATGGGGTTGATTGATTGTAGTGGGGTAATGTAGAGTGGAGGCAGACATATTGCTGTATAGGGAACCAAGTCAGTGGAAAATTACGCACATGAATTGGAAAGAATGTGAGTTGTGCATCCGTGCAGACCCAGCTCTGTCATGCTGTAGCTGTGTGACCTTCAGTAGGTCACATACCGTCTCTGAACTTCAGCAGCATCCTCTGTTAAAAGGAGAGCCATGCTGACCTTCCAGGTTCCACAGGAGCATCACTGGACCATATCTTAAAAGGCTTCAGCATAGTGCTGGGTACACAGCAAGTGTCCTGGATATATAGCTTGAGTCTGTGGCTAGAGTAGCAGGGGACTGACAAAGCTTGGCTTTGGAGTCAGCCATACTTGAATTTAAAGGCTAGCTGGACAGCTTAGCTCTGTGATCTTGGGCAGGTCATTTCTTTCTTCTTAGCTACAAATTTCAGTGCCTTTAAAGTGAGACTGATTCTTCTCCCTATCTAAGTTCTTTTTCTTCCTCACTAAAGCGCCTCTGGTCCTTTGGGGCAGGGATTTGTCCAGAGCAGTGGTTTTGAGTGGTCTTGCACTCTCTCTTCCCCCTGAGGAAATTGGGCAATGTCTGGAGACATTTTGATTGTCAACTTGGGGAATGCTATTGTGATATAGTGGGTAGAGGCTGGGATGCTGGTAAATACAGTACACAGGACAGAGCCCCCCACATCAACCATCTGGTCTAAAATGTAAGTAGCGCCAGGATTGACAAACCCTGACCTAGAGGAGACAAGGGGCCAGGCAGGGTTCCCCATCTCCACAGCCTGTTCTCTCGGAAGGCCCAAAGCCAGCTGATCTAGAGGCCAGCCTGGTACATGGTGTGCCCTCTGTGCCCCCCAGATCTCCCAGCTCTGAAGGCCCCTCACCCATCAGCACCTCTAGTGAATGCTTGATTGGTAGACTGGCATGTGGAGAGGTTACTAAAGCAGTGTCACCCTCCCCTTCCTGGTCCATCTTCTGAGTGATACTGTTGACCAAACATGCTGGTTAGTGGAGAGTGCCAGGCTGCATTTCCTTGTAAGCCTCTGGGACTCTGCTTATTGCTCTGGGACACCAAATTAGAAAAGAGTTCTGAGGTAGAAGTTATTAGTGGCTGGTATCAACTGGG